AATAAGCACATCCTCTGGGGAATGAGATTCCCTCTGGTGATGCCTCTGAGGAGTGAAAGGCTTGGCAGCTCACTCTCAGTCTGTGGTTGATGAAGTCCCAATGAAAAGGTAGCAATATTAGAAGTCAATAATTAGGGGCACCTGGGTGGCTCAGTCATTAAGCGTCTGCCTTCGGCTCGGGTCATGATCCCGGAGTCCTGGGATCGAGCCCCGCATGGGCTCCCTGCTTGGCGGGGAGTCTGCTTCTCCCTCTCCCCCTCCCCCTGCTTGTGTTCCCTCTCTAGCTCTCTCTCTCTCTCTGTCAAATAAATAAATAAAATCTTTAAAAAAAAAAGTCAATAATTTAAACAAATATATTGTGTCTTAACTTTCTAACAATTTTAAAAATAAAAAAACTTAAAAGTTTAAATTAATGAATTAAAATATAAATTAAAATTAAAACGACATCTAAAAACCCTAAATGTGTAAGTCAGTGTGATCAGTGGTGATGGCCACGTGCTGTAGGTGGCTCGGTCCCAACTGACACCTACCCCTCTCCATGTGTCTCTGCACTAGACCCTCCCCTCCCCCCGGGGCAGGCAAGAAGGAGAGGAAGTTGGACGGGTTTTTTTTCCCCTTGGATTCTCACAGGTTGAGAAGACCCTGGCATCTTTAAGCTTGTTCTCCTAATCTTTCCCCCATGACCTTTCCATCCCTTCCCACTCTCATCAAAATTTCCACCCGTTCTGCTCTTGTTTTTGGCTGATGACTTCCTTTGCCTTATCCATTCTTGAGGGGGAAAAGCTATTCAGATATGATCTGCGTCTCACCACCGCCACATCTGTAAACACTCTGGTGTTTTAAAGCCATCCTTTACTTTGGCCCATCGGTTAAAAATGAGGATGTATCTCACAGTCTCTGGATTTCACCCCCTCTCAGCCTCTAAGATTGGAACATTTTAGTTACCCTGTCTCATGCATTTTCAACTGTTGGCTTTCTATAAGTCATCCTCTTCAGCACACAAACATTTCCTTTTATCTCCAACTACAGAACACTCTGCTGTGCGTGCCCCCAGCCCCCTTCAGCAATCATGCTACTCTCATGCTTGCACGTGTGGCCAGACTTTTTTGAACAGTTGTCTGCATGCGGCATCCCTAGCTTTTATCCTCCCATTCACACATTATACCATTCGAATCTGGCTTTTATGCCCACCATTTCACCCAAACTGCTTTTGTCAGTGATAATTCTGTTACTTAATCTAAGGAACACCTAATTAAATCACTCAGTAGCCATCGATACAGCTGACCTCCTCCTCCTTCTTGAATCTGCCTCTTTCTTATTCTCTATGATGCCAAAAATGCTCTTGGGCTTTCTCTCACTTCACTTACCAATCCATTTCAATCTCCTTGGCCCCTCTCCATCCTGCTAACATCCTAAATGTAAGAATGCATCAGGTCTTGGTCCTACATTCTCTTTTCTCTTTCCACACTCTTTATCCAAGTGATTTCATTGGTTCCCTTGGCTTCAAATACAATCTATAAGCCAACGATTCCTAAACTTACAGCCTTAGTCCAGAGCTCTCTTCTGCAATCCATACGTTTATGTCAAGTGCAACTTGGACTCATTCACTTTGAGGTCTCAGAGCGATCTGAAACTTCCCATGTTTAAAACTGATCTGGGGAAACTCACTCTGATTTTGAGACTTAATATAAAACTCCAGCAATCAAGCGAATAGAACATTAGCAAAAAAAAGATAGATCAGTGGATCCATACATATCTGGCCACTTGATTTTTGACAAAGATACCAAGGCAACTCAGTGGAGAAAAAACAGTCTTTTCAATAAATGATGTTGAAACAATTGGATAGATAATTTATCCATGTATAAAAAAGCTGAACCTCAACCTGTGCTTTATACCATATACAAAAATTAACTCAAAATGAGTCAAAGACCCAAAAGTAAGATCTGAAATTATAAAACCTCTAGAAGGAACCATAGGAGAAAATCTTTGTTCCTGGGATTAGTCAAAGACTTCTTAGGTAGGACACATAAAGCATAAGCCATAAGAGGTAAAAATTGATAAATGAATTTATTAAAAATAAATACTTCTGCTCTTCTAAAGACAGAAAGAATGAAAAGTCAAAGAATGAATAAAAATATTTGCAAACCACATTTCTGATAAAGGGCTAGTATCCAGAATATATAAAGAACTCTCACAAATCAATAATAAGAAAACAAACAACCCATTTTTAAAAAGAAGGAGCAAAAGATATGAACAGATATTTCACCAAAGTAAATACACAACTGGCAAATAAATACATATTCATACATCCTTGGTCATTAGGGGAATTTTGATTAAAATCATAATGAGATACTATTACAAACCTATTCATATTGCTAAAATAAATTTTTCTTTTAATATGACATTACCAAGTTCTGGCAAGGATGGAGAGCAACTGAACTCATGCACTCCTGGTTGGAATGCAAAATGTACAACTAGGTTGAAAAGCAGTTTAGCAGTTTCTTATAAATTTATCATACAACCCATCATCCTACTCCTGGGTATTTACCCAAGAGAAATGAGAACATTTCCACACAAGAATCTGTATGCAAATGTTTATGTCAGCTTTTTTTCAAAATTGCCAAAAAACTAGAAACAATCCAAATGTCCCCCTACTGGGGAGCAGATTAATTGTGTTACATCTATATAAGGAATACTACTCAGCAATCAAAGGTCTGATATACTGGTGAGCGCAACCACATGGATGAATCTCAAATGCATTATGCTAAGTAGGAAAAAACAGACCCAAAAGCCTACATATTGTATTTGTATGACATTCTGAAAAAGACAAAATTATAGGGACAGAAGACAGACCAGTAGTTGCTGGAGGTGAGGGTAAAGTGAAGGGATTAACTATAAAGGGCACCAAGGAACTTTTTGAAGTGACTGTGGTGATGGTTTCATGACTATGTGTTTCTCAAAAATACTGAATTTTACCGTGTGTGAATTATACCTCTATAAATAGACTTTTAAAAGACTAATTTTTTAAGATTTATTTATTTGAGAGAGGGAGTGAGCGTGCGCGTGTGGGGGGAGGGGCAGGAGGAGTGGGAGACAAGCAGACTCTCCCTTGAGCAGGAACCTGACCCAGGGCTTGATCCCAGGACTTTTTTTTTTTTTTAAGATTTTATTTATTTATTCATGAGAAACAGAGCGAGAGAGAAAGGCAGAGGGAGAAAGCAGGCTCCCAAGGAGCGGGGAGCCCAATGCGGAACTCGATCCCAGGACCCCGAGATCATGACCTGAGCCGAAGGCAGACGCTTAACCATCTGAGCCACCAGGCGCCCGTGATCCCAGGACTTTGAGATCATGACCTGAGCTGAAATCTAGTCAGACGCTTAACCAACTGAGCCACCCAGGTACCCCTAAAAAACTAATTTAGTGATCTTGCCCACATACATGCTTCTTCCTCAACTCTCCCCATCTTAAAAAATAGCATCCCGGGGCGCCTGGATGGCTCAGTCAGTTAGCAACTTTGCACATGGGCTATTCTCTATACCTGGACTCCTCTTCTCCCTGGCTCCTTTTTTAATGGCTAGCTCCCTCTCATTCATAAAGTTTCAGTTTCACATGTCATATCTTTAGAGTAGTCTTTATACATGTTATAATAGTTGACTCCTGACATTCTCTTTCATAACACCCTGTAGGGTTCCTTTCCCAATTTATTATTATATATTTATGAATTTATTTAAGCAGACTCTTGGTTTCGACTCAGGCCATAATCTCAGGGTCATGAGATTGAGCCCTGTGTCGGGCTCCATGCTCAGAGCCGAGTCTGCTTAAAGACTCTCTCCCTCTCCTTCTGCCCCTCCCCTCTGTGCTCTCTTCCTCTCTGTCAAATAAATAAATCTTTTTTAAAAAAATGGCATCACTATCCACCCACTTTCTAAAGCTGGGAACCTGGCAATGATACTTGAAATTTCCTTTTCCTTCTCCGCTCATCCACATATAATCCATCTCCAAATGTCATTAACTCTGCTTCCAAAATATATTGCAAACCCATCTTCTAATCTTCCTATCCAAGTTTGCCCCTTCGTGCAAATCATCATCCCTTCTCACCTACCCTGTTGCAATGGCTTTGCTGCTGGTCTCCCTGCTTCCATTCTTGGCCTCCTCCAACCCTATTTCTGCCTAACGTCAGACTAATGATTTTAAGTGAAAATTACACCATGTCATTGCCTTGCTTAAAACTTTTCTGTGGCTCCCTTTCTAAACCCCATACTTTGGCCCCCAGCAAGCTGTATATGACCCAACACATCGAATGTCATCGTGTGGCACTCCGCTGTACCCTCTTGTCCCTCCCACCCACCCCACACCCATGATATTCCGACCGCACTGGCCTTCTTTCTTGTGTCGAATAGCCCAGGTGTTTTGCTCCCTTAGCAACTTTGCACGTGTTATTCTCTATACCTGTACTCCTCTTCTCCTTGGCTCCTTTTTTAATGGCTAGCTCCCTCTCATTCATAAAGTTTCAGCTTCACACATCGTATCTTTAGAGTAGTCTTTATACATGTTATAATAGTTGACTCCTGACATTCTCTTTCATAACATCCTGTTTGGCTCTTTTCCCAATTAATTATTATATATTTATGAATTTATTTTGCTAGTATTTATCTCCCCTACTAGAATATAGCTTCTTGAGGGCAGAAGCTATTTTTTTCAGTTACTTAGCAAATTAACTGACACATCATAAGAGCTAAATAAATATTTGTTAAATAAATGTGTAAACTAATAAGCCTCCTCCAATGAAAAAAAATAATGATTCCAATGTGATCATCACTGAAATTACCTGGACCAACACACACATTTATATAGTTCTATATAATATATCTATATACTTATGTGTTTGAGACTTATAAATTGGATCCCTACTACATTACCTGAAGAAAGTAATGATCACCAAGTTTCACAACCATGAGTGTGCAAATAGATGACAATGTCAGCCACCCAGAAAGGCTTACCTCTCCAAACTAATTGCTTGGCACAGAGAATGGAGCTGGGAGTTGTACAGAAGTGTAAAGCTGTGTGTCCACTTAAGGAGTAGCAATTGAGCTTTGCTCCATGGTCACAGAGGATCTTAACACAATCCAAGTTGGCCATTTCACAAGCCACATGAAGAGGGGTTTTCCCATTGGGTCTACAGTTGATTGTAGCATTGTGGTCCAGGAGCACCAGAAGACATTCCACGTGACCAAATAAGACAGAGAGATGCAAGCCTGTTGCCCAGGAAGACTTCAATTTATAACTAGGCAACCAATAACCTGAACAAGAAAAAGAAAGAAAGTTTAAGTTCTTGGCCTAGGACTTTTCTGTTTTGTGAGAATTTTTACAAAGTCTTTTACTTTGGTCACATTTATAAAACTGGAGGGGGGAGTGATTCAGAAGTTGTAAACTAGTAACCGATGGGTCTGCAAATGTCTAGTTTAGAAGCATACTCGGATACACTTGAGTGGGACAGGCACTCTTGAGTCTCTCTGTTTCCAGTATTTTCCATTACCTCATTCCTTTATTTACTTTATCTTCCTGGCCCTTCAAGGCATTTGGGTTTGAGACCTTCATTTATGGGATCGCATTTTATTTTACATGGTGAGTTACATGAGACTCTTACTGTTTTAACTCCCAATCATTGTTTTGAATGATTGTGAAGCTGTTAGTTACAAGATTATATCTTTACAGTTCTTTTGCCCTATAGTCGTTGCTGTTGTTGTCAATCGGAGGTATGAATGTATTCGATGTCTTTAAAAAATTTGTCTTGCCAAGATTTTATTTGCCTGCCTATTGGTTTTTACAATACCTCTTACTGATAAGAAGAACTTAAGGCAACTCACAAATTTTACACAAGATTTTTTTTTAAATACAAGATTTTTTTAATTATCTAAGGGCAAAGGAAAAAAAATAATGTAGGTAAAAAAAAAGGGGGGGCCAAGGGTTAAGATCTGTACACAAAATATAAACCATGTCCTATACACTAGAACTGCATTGCAAATTTGCCTTTGAACTTCCTAGCAGCCAAAATAAATAGGAAAACATGATGCATTGCACAATTAACTATGCCCACAAGCTATATACCAATTAATTGCTCAGGAGAAGCATAGCTGTTCCTAGAACTGAGATCTTAGATAAATTTTTCCCATTAGTTGTTGGAAATGTTCTCTCTCTCTCCCCTCCACCCCTCTCTCCCTCACATGTCTCACAAGCCATAAGAAACATAACTTCATAAACCTTCTTTCAGTGTCAATACCTAGAGCCATAGCATTAAGCTCACTATGAGTGGGTAATGGAAAATAGGTTCAGAAAGATAAAATACTGATAGCCAGATGAAGATGTAGAGATAACTCAACAGCTCAGAAGGGACTCTAGGGCTGAAACAACAAAACATATTTTAACGTGGATAAATCAGAAGGTTGCTTTTAAGTTATAAAATTCCACTATACAAGTACAAGGTAAGTGGAAGATGGTTTAATGGTAATTTATTTGAGAAAAGACCTAGGGATTTGAGTTGACAGAATTCTCAAAAGGAGCCAACAGGGGGATGGAGCTGCCAAAAAGCTTAATCCAATCTTAAGCTACGTTAATAAAAGTGCAGGGCCCAAAACAAAAGGGGTAAAAGTTGTATTCGTTACTGATTAGATGAAGTCAGAATAAATCTAGAATATTGGGAATACTTCTGGGCAACAGTGCTGAGCATCTGGAGGGCGCTCGGAGGATGAGGCCCACATTACAAGTGGGCCTGGCGATCAGGTATTAAAATTCTCTCATTTAAGTGAGAAACATCACACACGTGCTGCTCCTGGGTATTTAACCTACAAGTATCATCACTCACATGTGACATGCTCTTTAAGGGCCACTCACTGTATTGCCCAACTTCCAAGAACATCATCTGCATTGAACTCTGTGAAAAGTATAAAGTTCTCAGGAATTATAATAACCTGGCCTGTGGACAGGAACATGCACCACACTATAGCATTGTTCTTAATGGGTAACGATTGGAAACAATCTCAATCTTCATCAACAGGAGACTGTTTAAAAAAAAATGATGGTGCATCCATGCAATCGAATACTATACAGCCATTATAAAGAGGGCTGTTCTATGTATACTGATATGGGAAAATCTCAAGATATATTAAGAGAAACAGGGGCTGACCAATGTACATAATATGCTATCATATGTGAAAATATTTACTGACGCCTCAAACAAGAAGCTGGTTACAGCAGTGGCCTCTAAGAACTAGGTGCTGGGAGACAAGGACATAGATTTACTCGTCCTTGGATGCCTCCTTTGAGCTTTTAAATTCAGTACCTTGTGCATGTATAACTATTTGTAAAAATAAGTGAAATTAAAATAAACTATTGTCCCCCTGTTCAGAGGGGGAAAGATAATTTAGTTTCAAGGCCATATTATAGGGTCGTGTACAATGCTGACTAATCCTGAGGGAATGAATGAACCCAACCTGAAGTTTGTTTTTCTGTAGCCCACTGTCCACCCTAGACACACACACACACACACACACACACACCCCTTTTTCATTCCATTCAGAATTCTAAGGCCATTTGACTTTCCGTCCCTCTCAGCTCTCCCCTTATCCACATCGCCTCTTTCAAAAGAAATCCAAAGTTAATTCACACTAAAGTCTAATGCACTGAGGATTTTTTTAAAGTGTGACCCTCTTAGGATTATCTGAATTTATGTAGGAATCTGTATTCAACTAATAGAACTAAGGGCTAAGATACTAATTTGAGATCCCAGACACTGCGAAGAGAAGGTGTTTGTTGATAGGAACTTTTCCCTTGCAGAGACAAATAGTATCACAGACCTCTGGGCTGCAGCATTATCAACCCTGTACCTGTAATGTGTGTGTGTGTGTATGTGTGTGTACAAACAGATAGGCACACACACTACATTTGTGTGTACCCATTTATACGTTTCTATTTAGCTATGTACATTGAATCTCCATTCTGAGCAGAGTTTTCAAGCTCTGTGGTGTGCAGCCTGCTTTTGATAACGAATGAATCACATTAACACCAATACTTAATCAGTCATTTTAACGCTCAGATTTCCTCAACGAGCAATTTGCAAAGCCAGTCTCTTCTAACTGTCTTGGAAAGAAGCTGGTTCCAGATCTGGAAACTGGAGTATGTTTTGCCTGCTGATTAGCAGCAAAGATTTGGCAGCTCTGTGCACCAACTGATTGGAAACTCGTGCCTGCTTCTGCAATGGGAAGAAAAATGATCTCAGAAAGGAAGCAGTAGAGAGCTGATTAAGAAAACACCATTTTGATGTAAAATCAAAGAAAACACAGAATGTTAGCGCTCGAGGGAAGATTATCCAGTCCAAGCCTTTCATTTTCCAGATGAGAAAACTGCCACTTTTTCAGGCTGCTAGAGCCATAAGTCGCCTGCCTCAGTCCAAGCTAATGGACTCAGGATATCTGCAATGCAGGGTTTCCATCTGTCTTTGTCTTTGTGGAAGCAGAATAGGTTTTAGCGCCAAGGCTGCTTCACAAATCACGAGGAAGGAAAGCAGATCCTGCATTCATCTCTAATATGCCACATCTCTGATATGGAAATGCATTTGCTTGTGGATGTTTTCTCTTCTTCCTAAATTCCCAATAGCACCTAGAGAATCTATCCTGCCCCGTTTATTCCGTGCATCAGTCGTCCTTAGGCTCTCAGTCCCTTGCCTCTGCCTGTTCTTTGGTCATAATCATTAACCAGTAAATCAGCCTCGGAGACAGCCAGGTCCTGGGATTCAGCCCACCCCCACCCAGATGAACTTGTGCCTACAACTCACCTCTCCTAGATGGAAATGTGTGTAGGGGGTTGGCAACAAGACACCTTTGCTGGTGCCCCTGGAAGCTGAATAGAGAAATAGGAAGGGGACAGATTGTCAGATACGGATCACAGCCCACTGAAGTGTATCCTGAAGCCGCGGTGCAGAACTTTTTGGTGGTGGTGTGTATGTGCATCTGTGTGTGTGTGTGTGTGTGTGTGGAGCGGGGGTGGGGGCGGATTCTGGATCATTCGATGCCAGGCATAGCAGGGAAGCCTTCTGGAGCGAATGGAGCAGCCCACAGCAAGGAGGCTATGGACAGTCACCCCTTGTGCCCTCACACCTTAAAATGAGGCTGCTGCCACAGGTCGCTTTGTACCAAGTGTGGGAAGGAGCAAGAGTGTCCTTTCCACCTCACCTACCCACTCTGGGGACCAAAACTGCGGTAAAGCCACCCTCAGAAACCACAGTGGGGCAGCACCGATCAACATGCTTGTGTTGATACCGAAACGCCAAGGCATCAGAACTTGTCCTCTACCATATAACCTCCAACAGGGACAGCTTAGCCGAACTACAGTTAACTCATCAGGCATCTTCATTTTGTACACTCTTCCTTCCGGGGCAGAATTATCCCAGGGCTTCAGGACCTAGAATGTGATCAATTCTGAGCATTTGTTTTTCAAAGAGCCCCCCTCTGCTCACCTTGGCAGGTGCCAGGCTGCCTTCTGTGTGCTCAAATGGGCACAAAGGCCGGCGCGGGGTGGGGGGGGGGGTTGGAATCTGGGAACAAAGCCCCTGAGAGGGGAGTGAAGAAGCCTCTGCCTCCCTAAAACTGTTAGGCACTCACTCTGTCCCCCCACCCAGGTCTGCGGTGCTCCGGCGGCAATGGCTTGAAGAGCCCCGCTTGAGCGAGGGCTTTAACTGAGAAGAGACTATGGATCCTCCCCTAGGCAAAAAACCCCACAGAGACTCTCAAATACAGGCCATGCCCACGTAGATTTATAGTATCTGCAGTTACTTTTCACCTTCCCCAAACCATGACACATCATCTGTTTATATCATTTCCCCTTCATATATCATAGATTATGGGCAGGCAGGGGATTTGGAGAGGGTCTTGACAAAGTCTCCGTTTTACAAATAAGGGTAAGATTAAGTAGCATAAAGCACTCATGCCTGTCTCACTGGTACGGACAGATCAACTCAAACTCTGGTCTCCCCAAGTCTTTAAATGGCCGCGGGTGATCTGCTGACTGCCCGCATTGCACTCCCAAACCAACAGCACTTGTAGGCAAAAGTTCTAGAAGGATTTTAGAAATTTTACCCCTACAAAGATATTCAGCCTAATCGTGTGTGTGTGTATGTGTGTGTGTGTGTATTTAATTAAATCTGAAACCAAAGAGATAGGCCTGAATAGCTGAGTAGAAAGCCCTCCGCTCAGGAAATACGGTAAAGAGAGAAGGGTTAGTGTTTGGGCTATCTTTTGGAAGAAGGGATTGATTCTGCTCCATGTTGGGGGGGATGTACACATCTCTGGTAAACTTTCAGCTAAGCCTGGGCTCTGCAACAGTTATCAGCTATAATGTTGTCTGAGTCCAAAGAACCCCACACACGAGAAGCCTCTGTTATTACAGCCAAAGGTTACACACGCCGCTCGTGGCTGGATTAGCAGACATTTGCTCTGCCTGTGTCCACGTATTTACACAGTCCTGAAGGATTATAGACTAAAGCACAATTCTTGGCTATCTTTTAATAGCTAATATTTTCAGGATAAATCTCAGAGCTCCCCCAGGAGAGGGGAAAAAAAGTCAGCCTGAAATGCAACATTTAAAAGAAAAAAAGTTTGAACATCCAGGAAGGGAAAAGAACCCTTAGGATGGTAATAGGAAAGTAGGAGAGCGAATTTCTGGCATAGAGGAAAATGAGGTGATAAAGAGATTATCCATTAAGAGAGTGGAAATCAGAGCTTTCAAGATATTTGGAAGGCAGTTGTTACTAGTAAAGTACCTGCCAGAAAGTTTTCCAGTGAAATCACTCATTGGTTATTTTAATTAAAAATATGACTACCAACCAAAGAACCTGCGGCTGTGAGCCATAAACGAAGTACTTAAAGTGCATTACACTGATTAATAAAAGGACTCTGATTAACCTTGCTGACTAGGGAATTTCATACCAAGAGAGAAGTATGATATTCTGCCTGTATCATTAACGCGCTAAGACTCATACATCTGAAAGAGAATCAAAATATGTAGTTGGAAAAGCCTTTGGAAACAGCTTTACAGATGTTCACGTTTCCAGTATAGGACTCACTAGTGAGAACCCATATGAATAGCTTTGGGTTTTCTTACAGATCCTGCGTTCACTCTGGATACTGCACGCTTGGCTCATGGGAAACTTTCTATCATTAATATCCCTTGACTTCACAACAACTTACTGCGTGTGGCAGTTAAAAAGTTGTTTGCGTATCTAACTTTTCTTCACGCCATTCCCATTTTAAAGCCGTCGTCTGGTAGATGGAATTTTGCTTGCTTGTTTTCGCTTTAGAGACACATGTCCCTGCTGTCCTCCAGGGGTTATCCCAAATGCAAGCCGGCATGTTTGTAATGTTTGCTTTCCAAAGTGTGAGACAGGTTTTTTTTTCTTCATTTAATAAAACATGATTTTATCTGAAGATTTGATGATGAGGTCTAACATAACTTTAAAAAATAAAACAAGAGCTCTCTTATTTTAAGAAGCATTCTTAGGTGCTGGGGCTAGGCGGGACCCACAGTTTGAACCTGAGCTCTGGAATTCCGCTCTCTGTTGCATGGGCAAGAGAAGCTACTCAGTGGGATGAGGAAACAGAAGTGAATTTCCAGATGCTTTGTTCTGCCTTCCTCACAGAATCCACATTTTACATTTACTTCTGTGAGTGTGCCAATTAGATGGTAGATTTGGGGGAGCAGTGTTTAGGCCCCAAGTTGATTTCCTTGCCAACAGAGTTCTGAATTGTCTTTCCAAAAATTATGAACTGACTTGTATACTAACTTAGACATACCATATTCAGGGAAAAAAATGTGATCACTTTTTGAAATTCTATGAAAAATGCTATATGTCCTAAAAGAAGTAAAAATGGTTTGAGATTAATTGTCCCCCTGTTGATTTTCTGCAGGACAATGAAATGTTGAATATAGATTACATTATTAATCACACAAGCAAATTTAAAGGTCGCATGGTATCTTTTATAGGTTTTAAACATTGTCGTGCTTAATAAGCCACAAAGTAACTAAAACCTGAAGATTCTCATACTTTAAAAGTAAACAGATAACGTTTCTGTTTCCACATCTGGATGCTGGTTATATAGGTTTGTTTATGTTATGAAAATTAATCATGCTGTACACTTATGATCTGTATACTTTTCTGCGTGGAGCCTTTCAAAGGTGCTTTTAAAAATCAAAAACTGCTGCTTAACAATCCAATAGCATTCAATGTCCTAAAAGTCTGCTATGATTTAATAAAGTCTCACAAAGTTTAATCCAACTGCATACCCTTCAAGGCCACACAGGAAAGGGTGTCATGCCTCAGAACTATTCAGAAAGGAACTAACCCTAACTAACTAATTAACCAGTGTAGCCTGCTCTTTGTGACTTAAGAAATTGATATAACCACTTAGGTCAACTTTGCTTGGCTAGCAACTAGGATTCTATTTATCACTTCCATTCCTGAATGAAATATTAAAGGGATTGATAATTAGGCTGGAAGACATGTGAAAATGGGGCGCCTGGGTGTCTCAGTTGGTTAAGCGACTGCCTTCGGCTCAGGTCATAATCCTGGAGTCCCGGGATCGAGTCCTGCATCGGGCTCCCTGCTCAGCGGGGGGTCTGCTTCTCCCTCTGACCCTCCCCCCTCTCATGCTCTCTCTCTCTCATTCTCTCTCAAATAAATAAATAAAATCTTAAAAAAAAAAAAAAGACATGTGAAAATGTAGGAAAAAAAACTTGAAGAAGCTTTGAAGAAAGATGAGGTTTTAATCTGGGTTTAAGATTGAAGAGATAGATTCTTATATCCACATTAAACAGAGAGTACGTGTATTTCTTGCTGTGCATACCAGCATGTGCACACGCACACATACACACAATTCCTGTATAGACCCTGAAGATATGACCATAAATCCTGTTATTCCTGTGCATATGTTCACCTGGCATGTATAAGAAATGGAACTCTACTTTTCCTTTCCCAGAGGGTATAATTTGCTGTCTCCCTAATGGAAAGCCACATCCCACAGTCCTAACACTATGAAAACACCCATTAGTATGAATGAATTTTTAGCTCTATGAGGACCATAGGAATCAGCTCATATTGACAGAAAGGATTAAAACTGCATTTTCTTCTGATTCAGGGGTGCTGACCCCACTGGAAGCAGGAGAAACAGCACCCTTCTTCCCCGGAGCCTGCCCTAAAACTTCCTTTTTCTCACAACCTCAAAACCTCGGGTGATCCACGCAATTTGGCATGTTTAGGAGATGGGAAAAGGCAGTCTTCACAACTCAGTGTTAAATAAATTACGCTGACTTGGACCTAAGTTATTTTCATGGGCATACATGTTAAGCTTAAAAGATACCTTAAAAATGTATTTAGCGTTCAGTCTTTCACTGAACAAATCCAGAAGGTTAAAGTAATCTGATTATATGGTATACACTCCTTCCTTCTAACAGAGCCCCATCAACTACTTTTTAAAAAACAAACCTCTTCATTCTCTTCCAGTCAAAGTAGCAATGCCGATTTATGATAAAGCCCTCCAGGAAAAATCATGAACACAGTAACTGCTCTCCTCTATCCTTCCTTCAGAACTAACAACCAGAGTCCAGTAAATTAAAGTAGAAATATATACCATTAACATTAGTTTCTGAAAATTCATGGTGCTGATGATTTATATGTGAACGGAAAGTACTTTCAACATGAAGAAAGAATTGCTATCTCTCTCCAAATAATGTATACCAGACCTTATCATCTATTTTGTTTAAACAGAAGTGATGTTGAACATGGTGTTTGTTTGTAGTCTGCTCACCAGATGGCCTCGCTACTCAAGTTCCCCATTAACTAGCTGATTTGGGAAATCAGAATCTGCGTACTTCTAATTTATTTCTGATTTCTTAAGTGTGGGTTCCAGAAAAATCCCTTGATAAAAAAAAAATTCAGTTCTCATTCTTGTTACCCTCGTTCTTCAAAAGGCAGACATTCTGTACTCAGGATATCTACAATTTTGATCTATTATTGTAGTCAAGGAAAAAAAGGTTTTTTTTAACTTTTTAGTTTTTCTGGCTTCAGTTTTTTGCCTGAACTAAAAACTCATTAACATGATAAGGACCAGCAAGGTGCATCAAGGCAGAGCCTTACCCATTCATTAACCCTCCAAATGGGGGCAAAAATTCCCTTTTCCATCCAGATAGATACAGAGATGATATACCTTTATGTGGCTGTGTGAGCAGAGAGTTAGCACCCTGTCCCCAAGGCGGTCACACAGTCTGGATTAGATCTTAGCAGTCTGTTTAGCCATAATCTAAAGATGTTTTCTTTATTCTGTGTCATTTTAGGCAGAAGAAAAGTTAGAAATAAAAGCAAAGTACAATAATAAATCTGATCGTCCAGGATTTCAAATTCCAGACACAAGGATAGAGAAAGAAAAGAAAATACAGAAAGAAAGAAAGAAATACAAATATATACCACCCATGATGCTGTCTAGTTAAAAAGAGAGAAAAGATTAAATTAGAAATATTTTTAAAATACATACTTAAACTGTAAGAGCTACTGGCTTAGAGTGGGTGACCGACACTGTGCATTACAAAAAAAAAAAAAAATCCATTTTCTATCAATGTTATAATCACACCTATAATTTTTTACCTTGTTTATAAGATGCCAAAACCATATTCTCATCTTCAACTTCAAAAACTGTGTCCACATCTATTAGCCTTTGGATTAAAATGGCCTTCAGTTTTCCGAAGTCATTTGACTTTAGAGCCTCAAGGAAATTTCTCTTAACTAACTTGGCCGCTGCAGATTTAGTGATAGGGGTGGCGGCTCCTTCCATCCTTCCTCTCCCTCTGGAAGCTTTGTTGTGATTTATCAGGAGAGCGGCACCAAGCAAACAGGCACATGCTGGAGAGCCCACAAACTGTCGGCTAATTTTATCCCAAAGTTATGCTGATCCGTTCTATTTATATAGGGATCATTTCAAACTTCAAAATATCCTTCTTGGCTGTCACTGCCTTTTCAGGTCTTTTAAACTGGTTCTATACTCACTGATTCATTGAATAATATATCGTGTCAATATCAAGGAAAACCCTTGCAACACATTTCGGAGAGCCAAATGTCAGTATTATTTCTTAAATGATCAAAGCAATAGCGTAAGATTTAAAAGCTCTTAATGCTTTTTTTTTTCTCCCTCGGTAAAAACATCTGGTGCCCAACTGGAGAACCAGCGTCCTGCTCTGATTAACCAATAGCCAAAAATGAAAATTTGTTACAGTTGCTGATACATGTGCCTCTGGAAACCTATAATAATTTTGTAATATAAGCCCACAGAATCAAGCAGAGTTGTACACATTGGAAAACAAACGGAAGGTTTTCAAGTGACCTAGACTTGAAAAATTTCAATGTCGTGAAAGAAAGCAGGGTAGGGTAAGGTGGCAGGACTGTTTCAGGTAAAAAGAGACTAAAGAGACAAAACAGCCAAGTGCAATGAGTGAATGAACTTTATTTAACCCTGTATCTAAAAAACAGAAAAGACCATATATCGGGGCAATTGTGGAAATATGAATACAGACTAGATATTACTTCATAATACGGAAGTACCGTTAATGTTTCAAGGCATGGTAGAGGGATTATGGTTATGTAGAAACATATCCTTATTCTTAAGTGACGCATTAAGGGGTGAATTGTCATGATGTCTAAAACTTATTTTCAAATAGTTCACAAATGAAAAACTGAATGTGTATGAATATACACACACGTGGGTGCATGTGTATGTGTGTACATGTGGGAGGGTAAATAGAGACAGAGAAAGAAAGCAAATGTGGCAAAAAGTTGAAAGTTGGCAAATCTAATGAAGGAGCTCTGCGTGTCCATTATATTATTCTTTCAGCTTTTCTATAAGTTTGAAAATTTTCCAAATAAAAAGTTAGAGAAATAATCAAATTTTAAATTTATAAATCATTAAAAATTAGAAAAAAATGATGACAGTATTAATTTGAATGCAGTGAAATCACACCTTATATAGTGTTGATGAGTCAAAACTGGTACAAATTTTTCTGCAGAATAATTAGCAACATGAATTTTAAAAAATCTTAAAATGATAATAGTATTGGATTCTTGGAATTTACTTACGGATGTAAACATGGATGTATATCATAGCACAATTTTTTAACTTATTCCATTGATGTGCAACCTAAATACAAGAAAGTGGAAAGTGACAAGTCATAAGTATACAGCTCATTGAATGTTTACAAAGTGAACATCCCCATGGAACCAACCCCAGATCAAGCCACAGCAGTCCAAGTGCGCTTGAAACACTTTTTATGTCTCCTTCCGATTGAAACACTCAACCTGACCCCCAATGACAACCATTATCTTGACTTCTAACACTGTAGATTCAGTTTGCTTGTTTTTTAATGTTTAAATTTTTTGTTAATTTTCTTCAAGCTTTCTAAAATCTTCAAGCTTACATAGTATAAAATACTTGACCCAAAAAGAAGGATGGATAGATGAATGAAAATGTATGTGTGGGTAATTACAGTGTTAATAACAGAAAAAATTTCAGAAGCTATCTCAATGATCAAGGGTAGAAAATTTGGTAAATTATGGCATATCCATATAATGGAAAAACTTTTAGTCATTATGATTTAATTAAGTAGGTATATACTTATTAAAAATATCTATGAGGGGCTCCTGGGTGGCTCAGTAGGTCAAGTGTTTGCCTTTGGCTCAGGTCATGATCTCAGAGTCCTGGGATCGGGCGCTACATTGGGCTCTCTGCTCAGGGGGGAATCCACTTCTCCCTCTCCCTCTGTGCTCTCTCACTCTCGCTCTCTGTCAAGTAAATAAATAAAATCTTAAAAAAATAATAATAATAAAATAAAAATGTCTGTGAACTAGACAATTTATAAAATAGTATGTGAAGTATAAATACCTTTAAAATATCTATGTTCTTATAATGTACAAATATGCATTTGTATATATTATATAATTTGTACTATTATATATACTTACATAATTTGTATATATTTATCTAATATACAAATGTATAAATACAGGTACTATAGGCACACATAGAAAAAAGTCTATGAACATCTATTTCCAAATATCATGAGCTTTTATTTCCCAGTGGTAAGATTACATTTGATTTCTTCTTGATCACTTTCTTATTTTTTGAATTCATCTACAATGAATATACATTATATTCGTGATAAAAAGGTATTTCAGTATATGTATATTTATAACATTAATAAGGATAACTTGTTAACTCAGAATAACTACAGAATTGTAAGTTCCATGAAGTAAGGAACTGAATTATTCTTATGTCCTCAGTGCTTAGCATGAATGAATAAATGAATAAAGAATTATTTATTGATTATTTACAAGGTCCTTAGCACGGTGCTTGGTGGCAAATAAGATACCACTGTTTTTTTGATATCCACATGGGTAACTCAAGTAGAAATACAGCATTTATTGATATTATTGATATGCTTTGTCCCTTTTTGACAAAACTAAAAGGCAAAAAAAAAAAAAAAAGCATTCCTGGTAGAAGAAACAAAGAGATCCAGGAGTTTTGTGTTCTTGGAGGATAATTTTTGCTAGAGAAGTCCACCAAAATGGAATCTATGTAAAATGAAGACCAAATTTCACAAAATGGGGGGAAAGGTCATTTTAAATTCATCTCTAAAAGAAAGGCAAAAATTATCGGGAACATTTTTTCACCTAATATTTAAGAATATTTAAGTTGAGGGCGCCTGGGTGGCTCAGTTGGTTAAGCGACTGCCTTTGGCTCAGGTCATGATCCTGGAGTCCCTGGATCGAGTCCCGCATCGGGCTCCCTGCTCGGCAGGGAGTCTGCTTCTCCCTCTGACCCTCCCCCCTCTCATGTGCTCGCTCTCTCTCATTCTCTCTCTCTCAAATAAATAAGTAAAATCTAAAAAAAAAAAAGAATATTTAAGTTGAGTAATTCATAGGACCACAAAACAAATTGTTAACTATTTTCAGGGTAAGATCATTTTTCTGATCCAATTTCATAAAGGGAAAGGGAGGCAAATACCAGTGAATATTGAAAAGAAAATACAAGATAATATGTAATTCTCACATCCTGGTTCACAAAGCAATCCATTCCATTACTGGAAAATTAGGGTCAGTATTTTCTTTGTTACATTGAGCCCAAATTGCCTATCCATAATTTTTTTTCATTGGGTCTAATTATGAACATGCAATCATACATTTATTCCATTCTCATCCTTAATGAATTTCTAACATTTGAAAATAGCATACTATCTCTCATTCATTTTTTTTCCTTGACTAGTCTCAACTGTTTCTTATGTGGGGTGGTTTTCAGAATTCTCTTGTCCTGCCTGCTCTCTTCTGGATCCTCTCTGGTTTATTGATGAATGCCCTTCTCTTAAATTTGGGGGCCTAAAATGGAACATAATATGCCTAGAGGGAGCTGAAAACTAGGGAGTATGATGGGGACACTGGGGGGCACTCTGCTTTTGTTGATATTGTTTTGTGATTCCTAGGAGGCACTCTGCAAGTCTGCCTCATGTTATAGTTGTAATTTCTTCAACAGATACTTACCGAGCACCTACCATGTGCCAGAAACTTACTCTGAGAACTGGAAATACAGCAGTGAACAAAAACAAAAATCCCTGCCCTATAGGACTTAGCGTTCCTAATGGAGTTAAGTAAAAATGGAAGTCCCCAGACCTTTCCAATCTCCTGTACACCAGAATTGCTCACAAAGCTGCAAATTCACTAAATTTCACAGAGAAACAATGTAGTTTGTTTATATTCGATTAATTGACTGGATCCTCCCTTTATAGGTTCTTCACCTTAGCGACAAAGGGAAGAACAACTTAATTTTAGTCCAACTTAATATGTTTAGTCCGATTCAAATTTTTAGCAGTCTCTTTCGGTAAATGCTCAGTCACTATGGATATAATTCTCTATCTTCGAGAGTTCTGACTTTCCCTCTAAGATGGTTTCTGGAAATATGGGATATGTATAGGAAAAACATTCAAAATACTAACATTTAACAACCAGGATCAGTTAGAAGAGACTTCGACCATAAGTCATCAGTATGGCCAGACTAGTGTATAGCAGATGAGTATCAGTCAGAGGTAGGAGTGTAGCTTATATGATCGCATCAGGGAAGGGGGAGTCCCCAGATGGGAAACCCTCCTCGATCTCCATGGCAGAGTGGCAGAGTGGCTCCTCTAAATTGTTCCTGACTATATTCAGATTTCTGGCTCCCACCGTCAGAGCACATGATCCCGGTCATTTGTCTCCAAATTTGATGTCTTCAAACACTGCAGCCTTTTGGCTATGTTAATGCAAGTTATACACGGGAAACTCCAAGTCCTCTCTTCAGGCACACTGCCACTCCCTCACACTTCGTGAGGAAATAGCAGCTTTGTATAGCCTCCTTCTTGTCATCTTTTTAGGGCCAGAATGAACACAGACCTATGCTGAGGGCTGGAGTTCTCCAAGGAGTCTACATTATTCCTGACACTGGCCACTAACCTCCGTGTCCTTTGGCCCTCTCAGGCATATCTGGTTGTTTCTACGTCTTCTCCCCCGCCACTGCTCTGCCAAAGTTCAACCCTGGAAGAACATATTAAGTGTGTGAACAAGGATGAGAATGCGGCATCCAATCTCTCAGTCAACTTACTTCTCCCTCAAGATGTCCAGCCTTGCTGGCTAGAAAGGTCCAGTCTTGGACATTTTGCTTCCTCTTTAACTTTGCCTTTTTTCCCCTAGCAAGCCTGACCTCCAACCATAGGTGGAAAAGTTGTCACCTTTACGTTGTGGAGGAAACTCCATGATCTTGAATTCTTTGGGCATAGTCCTTGATATACAAGAGGGGATAAAGTGATCTAGAAGAATCCTTATTTTCTTAATG